GGTATCCGATATCGATCCGTGGGTAGGACCGCCTCGTCGGCGTGTTCCAGCAGATAGAGTCCCAACTCACCCAGTGGGTACGTCTCCCCCTCTCGGAACCATCCTCGGAACCCCAAAAATAACGAGCCTTGATCTGGTCAATCTCGTCAAGAGTAGACCGAGGGGGTCGAGGACCCTAAGAAGATGAAGCGGAAGGGAGCTAAGGGTACTCTTGATCAGCACAAGCCGACCACCGAATGAAAGGTGTCTATGCGACCAACCAGAAATCCTGTCGATCATCCTCTGCTTGATGTCTGCAAAGAGCGCTCTCGTGAGATTGCCCTTGTATAAAGGGGCACCAAGGTAGGTAATGAAAAGGTCGCCGCGCGCAAAGCCAGTGATCTTGTGGACTCGCTGAGCCCAACTGTCCACACTGGAGGAGGAGAGGGTGAAGGTGCTCTTCTGCACACTGATCAGCTGGCCAGTAATCGAGCTATAGTGCTCCAGAAGGTGCATAAGCTCGATCAGCCCATCATCATCTGCCCGGGTGAAGATGATGATGTCGTCCGCATAAGATAGGTGCGAGATGGGAGGACCATAGCCACGGGTGTTGTATGTCATCTGTGGATAGTCGCGGATGAAGCCGTCAAGACAGAGAGAGATGTAGTCCGCCGCCAGAACAAAAAGGGACGGGGAAAGGGAGTCTCTCTGTCTAAGGCCTCTAGAAGAGGGGGAAAAAATTGGTGGGGCTACCATTAACCAGGACCGAGAACGTGTAGTGCTCCACACACGCCTCAACAAAACTGATCCACTGCTCAGGAAATCCCATCCTAGCCAGTGCCTCTCTAAGAAACAGCCACTCCACCTTATCGTACATCTTACCCATGTATAGGTTTAGCGCAATGTTAGGTGCCCGTTTCCAATCCGCATGGGAGATATCGTGGATCATTTCCTGGGCCAAAAGTATGTTATCACTAATGACCCGATCCTTGACGAAGCCACTCTGGTTCGGAGAGATGAGAGAGGGGAGAATAGGGGAAAGACGACCGTTAAGAATTTTTGAAATAAGCTTATTGGTCACGTTACACAGGCTTATGGGCCTGTAGTCGGACCAAGAGCTCGAATTTGGTCTTTTGGGAATCAAGACCACAGAGGTAGCCGCGAAGGAATCCGACATTTAGTAACCGGAG